CTTATTCACCTTAATTTTACAGAAAAACAATCAAAGTGAAAGTGATTTATATATATTATTTATTTATTTGTTTGTTTGTTTATTTTGTGCACATGTATGTGATTTTGTTCGGTTGTTTTCTTTCAATCAAGTATTCAATTTCACCTAAGTTGAACAACAGATGTTCATGGAAGCTGAATCAGTTCCCAGTGGAAGACAAAACCATTCAGACACTTGATCAGCTCACAAAAAATGAAACAAATACTTCTAAGATCTAAGGATGAGAAAGATTTCTAAACAAATTGATATCTTTCTACTGATTTTGTGGAAATTTTATGTTTTTCTGAAAATAGATTCTGATCAGAAATACCCAGCCAGTTCTGACATACACAGTTTGAACATTGGTGTCTTTTTATTAGTATTGGGTAATTGCCAGTATCTTCACATAGAAAAGTCCCTTTTGGTATGGAGCTGCTGAGCAATGACAATCATTCTGTTAGATATATTTTAGGTACTCTGAACCAGAGATATATTACAGATATGATTTCTCTCTGCAATAGCCTGGTATTTTCCAGTAAAGTAAGGAACTCCCATGAAGAATGCTTGCCTCATTGATAACTGTGCCCTAGTGCTCACAGGTTTGCAGGCTCATCCTGGAGAGCTCACCTGCCCTGGTGACACAGTCCCTCTGAGATGGTGCATGCTCCAAATTTAAGGGCATTTTGCACCCACATGAAGTTCAGATAGCATGGCAAAACATGCATGGCAAAACAGCAATCAGAGTTAAAGAGATGTGTGCTGAGCACCCCAAAGTGTGGGTGTACCAGGTCAAGTCAGGGATCCCATCCAGCCTAGGTCCATTTCAAGGAGCAGTGTAGTTAGGAGGAACTGATTTAATTTCTCTAAGAGGTTCACTCATGCTGTCTCAGAGCTTAAGCACTTATTCTCTCTATACCCTTAAAAATATGGAAATAATGAGGTTTCTTCAGCTTATCTCTTCTTTACAGCCTGAATGTCCATATTTTGGCCCACCATCAAATAAGGAACAATGCACTGAAAGGCATTAGGGTCCTCCCAGAAGGGAATTATAAACTGACAGATACACACAGTAAATGTCTGAATGTACAAATCACTCTCCACAGTCCAGGAGCTGTGCAAAAGAGGATACATTTTTTCTATAATGAATTATTACTCTAAAAATGGCAGTTAGTGCTCACTTAAGTGAAGAGCTTGGTCCTGTAAATTACATGTACTGCTTCTTGTATTTTATTCTGAAGAATCAGATTCATGAAAATGAATGCACTTTTGTTAAGTGAAAGGTCTGTTGTACACCAGATGACAAAACAGAGGAAAGTGCAAGCTCTAATCACTGTGTCTCCAATTGTTTATTACCCCAAATGTGGCACAAGATGAGATGAAGTGCTTCCCATTTAGTTTCATTGGCTTGTTCAGTCATGAAATAACAGTGGTGAGATAAGGAGTAGCTTGGGTTAAAAAGGTGAGTGGATATTGTACTTTTGTTATAAGAGTGCTTGGTATTTCTCTAAAGTATATGGAAAGAGATGATTAACAGAAATGGGAGCAGAGAGGAAGAATTCCAGAGCTGAAGCCCTTTTCATCCCTTTTTGCAAAATCTGGGGGGGGGATCACTCACTTTGGGCTGCTAGGACTTGGTTAAAGTCTATGCTGACCTTTCTATCCTCCCTGAAAGTGTAGAAAGGGCTGCAAGAGTCATTGAACATGGCCATCCCATATCAATGGGTAAAGGATTGCCCTGGGAGTGCAGGGAGTTTATTTCTTGTCACTGGACTAGGCAGGTATTTTCTCTCAGATAAAACAAACAGAAATGCACAGAGGAGGGTTTTGGTATGAGTAAATTCAGACTTACAGAAAATGTTATACTATTAAATGAATATGTCTTTTTTCTCTGAAGGAATCTGTCTTGCTAAGAAAGTGTGTGTACTTGCAGGGTCATGCTCTCTTTGCCAGCCATGAATAATAAATCTGTTCTATGCCTAGAAAGTAACCCCAAGGGACAGCCTGATAGTGAAGATACTCCTCACAGAAAGCAGAAAGAAATAATACTGGGCTGTCATTTTTACATCAGTTTCTAATGAGTGCCAGGGCTTAAAAGGAATGTACATCTGTCTGCTGGCTTGAGAACAAAAGGAAAGTACTAGCCCCACTCAATTTTGAGAAAGAGAAATGAGGTATTCCTCTCTTATCTCTTTCTTGGGTCATCCAGGTACACAGACGCTTCCACATAATGTTGAACAGATACTTGAGTGATAGAATTTATCCCTCAAAACCTCACTATTGCCCAGAACTTCTGCATGCAACTCGTAACCATCCTCCTACACTGACTCAGGAGCCTGAGCATTTCACATTTGGAACAGTGTCAGAAAGTCACGTCTCTGGAGGTGTCCAAAGTATTTGCATTTTTATTATTATGTTATTCACTCCCATGCTGAAGTTTGGTTCTGCATCTGAAGCAAAGTAGAAAGTTTCACAAAGCTTTCTGCTCTTAATACTCTTCCCACAGCCTTCCCCTCATCTCTGCCACATCCCCATGGGCTGCCTCGTCCCCTCCAGCCCCATCAACACAGCTTCTCCAGCCAATTCCCAGTGTCAAAATGCCAGCTCACCGAGTGGGATGTTTCAGGCAAACACTGTTTCTTTCTTGTAAAGTGAATAGATCTGAACACCTAACATGCGTATCCATCAAACAATTTTTGGCCAAGCCTGAAATACTGTTGCCAGCTCCCAGCTGTGACTTTTGGCTGGTTTTAACTCCCTGTATTCATCCCTACCATTCAAAATGAATGTAATACAAGAGGGACTGGTGTAAGGTCTTCAGTGTTTTGTTGTCTTGTCGTATAGACAGTGAAGCTAATTGTTCCAAGTGTTTGCAACTTGCTGGGGAGTTTTAGTTTCTCCTCTTAGTGAGGTTAATGGTGTCAAGACTGTGAGAGCATTCTGCAATATTTCCACGCAGGTTCTTCATGGCTTTCATTTCCCATGGTTTTGTGGATTAATGTTTGGCAAGAGAGAGGTGTTCATTATTTTTCTAACTTTGATAAGGTCTGTCTTGAGCTGGGATACTGGGAGATGGTGAATATTTGCACTTCATTATCTGACCTAGAGTTTTTTGTCTTCCCAAACTGAAGGGTGCCGTATCCAGCCCAGGGAAACTTGATGGCTGGGACAATGGGAAATTTCATTTCATCTTTACCAGCAGTAGCCACCTTCAAAGATTCTTCCTGATTCAAACCAGTTTAAGAAGACAACAGGCAAACAGATAAGCAAGCATATCTAAATATCACTTTTTTCCTCTTGTAAGATGTACTGAATATCTTCAACTGATTCTTTTTTTTGCCTGGATACTTTTTTTTCCTATATCCAAAAGACCAATAAAGGCTAGATTGTTTGTGGAAAGTTCTCTCAGTTTGCTATAAATTGCTTTTGGTTGCCAATATTTTCCTCAGAAGAATAAAAACAATTCCACAAAAAATTTCAGTCTTTTTCATGAGCGCTTGAAGTAAAACATTGGAACTATGATTTTTAGGCCAAAGCTTAGACTGAAAGAAGATTTAGTCCTGTCAGACCCATGGAGACTGCCACAGCTAAATTCAAGCATTAACTGAGAAAGATGTGTAAAGGTGTAATTCGTGTCCTGTTTAAAATAAACTGGATTATTTTTTTTTCAATTTTTCATATATTTGTGCTAAGGAAATGGATAAAGATCCCTAAGGAAAAAAAAAAAAAAAAAAAAAAAAAAAAGAATGACTGGATATGGAGTCTTAATGAGCTTGAAGAAATACAATCTAAAGGTCAGTAAAATCAATGGAAAGACTCACAAGGACTTATAGGGCTATAACTTAGGCCTGTGAAATGGCTAATTCAATGAGAATGTTCTAAGCAGCAATTTTACAACATCAAAATCCATCATCAAAATTAAGACAAAAAAGTTTTAGAAGCTTCTTCTTAGATAACCTGTATTTGTCTCAAAGAATCCAGTGGTAAAATTTCTCAAGGGACGTAGTTAAGCCAAATGAACAGCATTTGAAACTCCTTGGATGTACTGTAAAAATATGTTTAATGGTTTTATTTATGCTTTTAAAGGAAATGTTGCTCACAGTGATGTGAGTGGAATGTTTACAGACTTCTTTATTACTGTATCGTCAGGTAATTCACAATATCCTCACTTAAACAAGCAGACACAAAATAATCAAACTTGACAAGTCAAAGAAAAGGAGTGCTAGCAGGTATAGAAAACACTGAGCATTGGGTGGAGATACAATATATTCTAAATAAAACACCATGAATATCGGAGCATGTGATGCAAGAGCAAATTCTTCATATCATGCATTAAGCTGACAATATGCATTGCCTTACAATAAACATTCTTCAAAGTGCCATGCTATAGTAACGTGGCACTTTTCAAATGAGACAAAACTTGAGAAAAAACGTGATTGAGAAACATGAATGATTGAATTCTTTCACTGCCATTTGCTTCTATTTTCCATTTCTGTTATTATTGCTGGTGTGCCAACCTTCTGAAGCACACATCTCATTTCTCATGACGGGTTGACAGACCAAATGCTGCCACACTTTATTTTAGTAGCAAAGAACTGTTTTCTAAAATACCAGGCAATGATACATCAACCCAGGACACAAACCTGCAGGATTGCTGCTGGCGCTGCACAGAGCACTTTTGCAACAGGTTTGCATAAATGCAACCTCCAGGAACCTGAAGTGGGAAGCAAAGTACTTGCATACTTTTATTTTAACATTTTTACACTCCTCTCACATAAACATGATGTCAGATATGACTGCAATAATCTGAAGTCAGCGTTGTCTGCTTTGTTGGCGAGCAAGCGTGTTTGGTTTACAGCCCCGATTTCTCCAAGATCACCTGCTACCACCCATACTGGCTGTACACGCTGTTCTCACCCTCTGTGCGTGCGTGTGTGTGCGGGTGTGTTACGGGGTGTGTAAATCAGAGCAGCTGCACTGAAAGCAGCTGCAGGGACACATGCTCTCAGCTGCTCTGTGTGTGTGTGTGTGTGTGTGTGCTTTGTGTATAGCTGGAGGGCTTCCCTCTTGGAAATTCTGGGATTAATGACACATTAAGACCTCTCCAAGAGAGTGGATTGAAAGAAAAAAAAAAAAAAAAAAGAAAAAAAAAAAGAAATCTGAAACAGGAAGGCAGTCTGATGACTTTTCCTGCAAAGTTTAGTACTTCAAAAGTTAACTTCTAAGCAACTGCAGATGCGTGGATAAAAGCTGTCTAGGACAATATGCAGCAGCCCTTACCTTTCCACCAGCATCTCCAACTTGTTGCCTACCTCTGCTGGATTCCCTTGTTGGCCATTAACAGTGAGTCAGCTCCATTAGGTAAGGATTTTTTACTTTTTAATTATTTGATAGTCATCTGGGGGACAGAGTTCATGTGCATTTTAAACTGAGATGATCTTGTTTACATTCACTATTGAATGTGGCTTAGAGAGAGGGCTATTATTAGAAAGCATCACCAAACTAGAATGGAAGTAAGGTTAAAATAAATAACTTCTAGGGTAATGAAGAAGGTCACAGTGATAACCAGGCATGCTTGTAGCAAAAAAATGTTTATTGTCCTTTAGAGGAGGTTTATGGTTATTGTTGTTGTTGTTGTTATTATTATTATTATTTTAAATAGAGAAATTGCAAACCTCTGAAGATTCCTTCTTCTTACCAGAAACTTTCAGGAGATTTAAAGAAGAATCATAATGTTTTCCCATAAATGGAATATATGAAATGAATCATAAAAGAAGAAAAAGCTTTAAAATCAGGATCTATTCCTCTAAGGAAAGAAGTGTATACACTGTATATCAGAGCACTATTATAGATTAGTTAATTACACATATAATAATACACAGCTATACGTATTATCTCTGGCAGTAAAAAGTTCATGAGTAATTTTTCTCCTACTGTATACATTAATTGTAAGGCTTGTTTCACTCCAGCATAGGGTTCGTAGAGGATATAGATTTTACATATATAGTAGTTTCTTTATGCAGCTTTATTAATCCACTGCAACGATATATTGAAAATCATGTTAGATGTTATTCAACTACTAAAAATGGAGTTAAAAAAAAAAAAAAACAAAACAAAAAAAAAAACAAAACAAAAAAACAGAACCCAAGAAAAGGCATAGGACCAAAGTGTAGTCCTGTCAATGATTATGGATATAGCCTCAGCGAACTCTGTGGAGGCACTCCCCCTTAAAGGAAATATGTTGCAATATTTTACAACATTTAATTCCAGTAGAGTTTCAGCTAGTTTTAGAAGTGATTGTCAGCCAGCACTCATTAGCTATATGAAGATAACACAATTTAAAGCACTCTTCATTTGAATATCAAAGGGTTACACAGAAAGGTTTGCAGGACTAAACACAAGGCAAATGACCTTATAGCCTTTATCTTCAAACAATGCCTTTAATTTCTAAAACCTTTTGAAGGGTTGCCAGTGTTATGGAGTGTAGCAGCTACTTATCTGATAGAACAAGCTTTTCATCAAGGGGAAATGACCTTTTAACTCCTAGTAACAAAGTAACTGCTTTTCCACTGTATTTTTGTTACTGAAGGCATTATTCTTAAACATACTTATTAAGGGGGGAATACAGAACGAGAATTAGAAAATAGCTTCCTGTCTCTTGTCTCTTAGGTGATGCAGAAGAATTCTTAAGACTTGCTCATTTTTTTTTCTCTCTTATTTTTTTTTCTTTCTTTCTTTCCATACTATGAACTCAAAGTAAAGGAAAACTGCTCAAAAAAGTTTACATTCTGACAGATTGTGCTGTGACATTATAAGGATATTAACAGAGCCATATGCTGTTTACTTTTGTACTCTGAGTATAACAAATCTACTAATCCCATAAGAATTTAACTATGAATAAGGAACGTCTGACCAAACAGCTTTTTGCAGATGCCTCATTAAGAGGGAGACAAAGATGATAAAGTCTTTTAAAGACCAAGGAAGAATTTTATCATCTTCTGCAGTCTTATGTTAGTGAATGAAGCCTTCAATGACTACAGGTATTCACATTATTTTGGGTTTTACGTATTTTCTTGTGACTGAAGAACATAAAAGGGTTAGCAATCACGTCCATAGCTGCTCTGTGGTAGAAGATTAAGTAAAGAATCAGGCGAAAAAGCAACTCAGTGACTCATAGATGTGGGAGGGCTGACACAACACGGCTTGTCAGACTTTTCTGAGATAACATTCTGTAAATAAGTCAATCAAAAGAAACAGACAATAGCTTTTTTTGGAGGTATTTTAGACAAAAGTATTTATCTTAAAATAGATATCTGCTTGCAACCACCATTGAGATGGAACTGCTCCCCATCCACTTTGGAGCCTTTGCATAGTGTGCTATTGGAAAAGTTTTGAATTTGGATATGAGTTTCATGTAAAGGCACAAACCTTCCATCAAAGCTCACAAAAGCTACTGGACTTACACTGCTGGGTGTTACATATATAGTAAAATCAGATGCAATTAATTGGTTCCAACTTCACTCCTGCGGATTTTCCTCAAATCTGAAACAGATAAGAAAAGATTTGAGTGTATCCTGAAGTGAAGGAAAAGGGGAAGAGAGAGGATGGCGAGGGCAGCATGGCTGGGTGCCTACAGCCGGTGGGAAAAGATATTACATTCTCAAATGAGCTGAATGATGAGATTAGGAAATAAATGAGAATAGTCTAACTTGAAAAAAAATATATTCAGTATATCTTGTAATGTTGTAAACCATAGTCCTACTTTTCCTATAAAAGTGAATTGAAAATCAGAGTATGTAATCTGCTTTCTGTACTACCCATGAGCAACCCATGATCTCACTTTTGAGCTTCTGGTGTAAAATCTGAGTGCCATGAATTTCAGTGCTTTAAACAAAAAAACTACTTGAGATGGGAATTAAGCAAAAACCTAGTTGAGCTGAGAAAATACTTCATCATGAGGATTTCAGATAGAGTATTTCAAACTATTTAGGAGCTTTCCCTGCCTCATACACCTGCTGCAGAAGTCAGCCCCCTGCTCAGACCCTAAATACCCCCTGCCACCAACATCCAAACCCCCAGCACTCCCCCAGTGCTCCCAGGCTCCTGTCATCCCCTGGCACTCCAAGCACAGGAGAGGTGCAAATACCCCCAGGGAAGCCCCAGGGCATTTGGCTTGGAAAGAGCTTGCTGGGATCAAGCTCTCCAACCATGAGTAGGCTTGGTCAGGGACATTCCAGCAACTTTAGAAATTACACTGGGATTATTCTGGCTCCATGTCTTCACTCTGTGCAAAGGACATTTACAGCACTGTGCAAACAAAAAATATTCTGCCGAATGCTTTCCTACAGCAGTAAACTCAAGACACCATGGCCATGACAAATAAGCAGTAACAACAGCCAAAGGGAAAGGAACAACCTTTATAGCATGTTTTTCTTCTGTTACTATTCTTAATAATCAAAAACTGTTTACAGGGTAATATTTTATTTCTCTCTTATTTAGGTTTTTGTCAACATCAGGTTACTTCATTGGCCTTATTGCCTGGAATTAATCCAGTTTGTGTTCAGCTCGAGAGTGAAATCTGATTACATGCAGTCAAAGCAGAGTTAGTAGTGGGGGTTGTACAGCGATTCCTGTTTGCTGATAAATTTACATTCCTCTCCTTTTTACTTGAAAAATAATGGTGCTATCCTTACTGCAGGGATAGTTCTTTTATAAGGAAGGCAAAAATGTATGGCTGCTACCCTCTGAGGGTGAGGGAACCTTTTCCACTTTATAATGAAAATGTTTGTGACTCTCCTGCACAACATCAATACGTCCCCACTGGATTTTAGGACTTTGAGATTTGATAGAGAAACTATTTTTAGCTCACACATTTGCCTTCCAATCTGCTGATGAAAATTAATGGTTATTTTCAAAGTTATACAGGCTTACAAAACAGGTTTGGTATGAGAGGGTTGCCTTTCAAGGATTTGCCAATTCCCATTGACCTGCCAAATCTGTATGCTCTTTAAACTACTTAACAGCTATTTATTACTCTACCCTATACTAAAATCAAGGATCATTTTATTAGACACTGTTCATAACAGTGTAAGACATTCATGGGCAAAATGTTTACTTTAATGGTCCAGTTCTTCAAAGTTATTTTGTCTCCAAATGCCAAATACTAAGAGGTATTGCATACATCTAGCTTCCTTTGCAATCGATAGGAGCTGCAAGAAGTCAAGACAAATCAGTGTTTGTTCCTAAATTGACAAGACAAATTGCTGCAGAGAGGAAGCATCATCATTTTGTTTTACAGATAGGATAGAGATGTGAAGTGGCTCAAGGTCATGCAGAAAATCCTTTGGCAGAGCTGGGATGTGTACCAAGGCCTCAAGAGTCACAGCTCAGCCCTGTTAACTGCAGTACAGCTCATAACTGAAATAAAGGCCAATGTAGGAAATAGGAGCACAATAGAAATGCTGAACCCTCCTTCATCTTCTTTGTAAACTCAAGCAGCTGCACACACAAACTCTAAGGGACACAAAGTATTCCTGGTTGTATTCAAAGTTCTTGGCATTTCTCAGGTGACCATAACATGAAATTTCTCCCAAATCTCCTTTGATTTCAATCAGGAAAGGACCCAATAACTTCCAAAGTGCTATATGTATTTCAGCATACAGAATAATTGAAGACAAAAATAATTCCAGCACTAAATAACTTCATTAGAGACATATTTATTTATTTATTTATTTTTCTAGTTTTTTTTAGATCACATCTGTAGCCTAATAAAACATTTCTGGCTGCATTAGCAAGCTTTGGAAAGCACTGTTGAACGAAAGCTTTCCAATAGGTTTCCTACATTTTTTTTTGTAACAGACTTGCAGCTTCAAAAGTCTGAGAATATTGTGTGAGATACTATTTGGGGCTATTTAGTGGGTTTGTACCAAACCCCTTCAAATAATTTGCTGGGAAGTGTTCTGAAGGCAGTCAAACTTGGCTGATTTTTGTCTGCAAGCTTGTTTTCTTAGACATTCTTGTGTTTATTCTGACTTTTTGGCTACTTTGCTCCTGAGTCACTTCACAGGTAGAGGTTTAATGTTGGTTGTTGTTGATGCCCCAAAAGTGGATAGCCACAAAAATAAATGGTCTTTAATGCTTAGTTGACAACATGGCTTGTTCAATGCTTTTTAAGTTTTCACAAAGCAGCGCAGTTTGCTTTCAGTTATGACCTTTATTAATTTCATTGTGGCAGCTACACTATGTGTTTTGCACTGAATAGAAGTTATTTATGTTGAAACCTAAGCAACAAAAAAAAAAGGATTAATTCAAGGAATATTTTTCATCTGACTTTGAAACACAAGTATAACCATGTGTTAGTG